CATGGTCACCGTCCACGGGTGTTGACCAGTAGGGGCGGCAGTCTTCAATGGATCCTCGCCAGCGGTGGCTGGTCGCGATGTGATCGATTTGAGTCCAGAGCTGTTAAGAGGTTGGCGGTCTCCATGTAGGGCGGTGTCGTTTCTTGTGCGATAATTTGGTGCTTGACAGGAATAGTCGGTGGTCAGTGCAAAGTTGGAGGAGGCGTTCTCCGTTGTCGGTCCGGTTAGCTGGGATTACTTACTTTAATATTTTAATACGGCTGGCTCCTTGGAAAGGATAAGCCGGCTCGTTGAATGTCTGTGATTGCCGCCATAGAAGACATAATTATGAAGTTACTTGGGAGTTTGGTACGAGAGACGTCCCCAGTGCCACTAGGCGTTTTTTATTTTAAGGGCGCACCACTAACCTTTGCACAACCATGTACAAACTGCAAAGCAGCAGGAAGTCATCCCTCGCCTCAGAAGTGAGAGGGCCGATGACTTTAGTTTTAAAAGGCCAGTAACATCGACCTTTGTCGCTATACCGTCATTGGGCTTATGCGGCTTTTACACAGGAGCCATGTGACCTGGCTGAAACCCACCACACCCTAGTTGTGTCGCTACTGTTTGTTCGCGACTGCTTATTTATTGCCGTATGCCACAACTTATTCATAGCTAACCTTCTTCGGTAAAGCTATCCCGCCATCCACAGCCCAGGGGTGCGCCTGGTAGCATTCAGCTCTGCTTAACCTGAGGATTGTATGTGAACCACCAAGTAGCCTTTCTGATTCGTCCAGGGATCCCACTTGAGCATTGAAGTCTCCAGCGACTACCACGATGTCCGTTGACCGTGCACTTTGTAGCATTTGGGAGAGGTCCTTGTTGGATTATTCCTTCATTTCTAGCAAACTGCAATCAGTCAGTACATACACGGATATGACGTATAATTATCGATGCTTCGTTCTGCATCTGTTGACCTGTACTGAACCATCCAGACGTACAGCGCAAAGTCAGCTACTAACCGGGATCCATTCGAGAAGTGGACGCTCGGCCTTGATACTCAGCACAATCGCGACACCGGCAACACCGTGAGCTTCGGACGCCGAATCACCTGACATACGAATAATAAAGCATGAGGATGAGGTCGGAACTGGAGATCATAAGGTGATAATTGAACTAGGGTCTTGTATACGTGTTTCGGAGACGCAGCATATATCTAACTGGAAGGTTTCAAGAGTTCTAGACAAGGCAATTTGTCCTCCAAACAGTCTTCAAGTGGATAAAGACAGGTCACATGTGTTCGAACACCGCTATATACACTGCATCGTACACATCCGATGGGCAGACGGACTAGTAATGCTCAGGTTAGGTGCAGTTTTAGGCACCCGCGGTTACTCACTTGAGCGAGCGCTTAACGCCCCCAAGTTACGGCTAACGGTTGTTACGCCTGTCAGCAGATAGGATTTCTCTTCAATCAGTATTTTCTGATGCAGCTAGCTGCTGGAATAAAGTCAAAGGTAATCAAAATGAAACCTAGTATTAAACATTGGAAATCCTAACCGGGTGACTTGGTCATACAGGTCCAGTTAAACCTTTTGATTGGGGACCTTGGTATTGGTTCAATCGGTGATTAGGTACACTAAGTGGTGTAACTAAATGTCGTGTACGATCACCCTGGTGTGCCCGTTAATTTTTTCGTAACTGAGTTCATCAGTATTTTATATCTGAACCTTGCTTTCGAACCTGTTTTCCAGTTCCCATTTCTATCGTCTTTTTCATCGTTATTTCACGAAATGAGTGATCAAATGACAACAAAACCAGAGCACTAAATTTCCAGGTTATTGGCTATACCAACTTAAAACTGATTCTCTATTTCGAATGAATTGGTGCGGGCTAGTTTTTTATTTACGTATTTTCACACACGTCTGAATCCAGACTGTGCAAAACAAATCATGGTACAATAATCTTTATGAAGAAGAAAAACGTTCCATGATTTGCATGTGGGCGGAATACTGCCAAGTTGCCCAGGCCAACGCAGGTGAATTTTCTTGAGGAATCCACAACCGGAGCCTTTGGCCAGCCGCAAGGCAGCGGGGCGGTGTGCAAAAACCGCAAACAATTGAGACCGGATCATACACCCTTTGAACGGGGTCAAACGTCCAAGGTGTCCAATACACCTTTATGCCTAATCGAGCCGGTGACCACTGCCACAACCAGGAAGTTGTGTGTGTGGTTCATACGCCTCCTCTTGATTGATTTTGAATCAGGGTTTTAGACCAACTCCGCTAGATGAACTATCAGTGGTCTACCAACCCGGTTATAGCCCCGGATGTCGGCTTTTCGTCCTCTCACTTTGGTGGGAAACACCTCCGCCACGAGAAGGCAGTAGATAGGGCTTCCTCAGCAAAGGCTATTTGAGACGCTTGGTCGTATGGGAGCATTTCGCGTGATGCAAAGGACGGGTGATCAGTCACAACCCTAGAAACCCACCCCCGAGGTGCGGGCTGGTAGCAGACGGAGTTTGACTAGTTTACTGCCAACGAAGGCCAGGTGAAACAGCTCCTTACTATGTCCCGCCCTTCGGCAAATATGCTCTATGTCAAATAGTGAATTATCTTCGTAGCGAATTCACTGATTCAACCATGGGACTTGAATGGCATTGACGGCACGAATAACAGACACAGTGGTTTGTCTCTCATCTTTTACAGGAAAACGCTTGCGTTTGGTGTATGTTTGTGCTAACCATCTTGTCACGCTTGCGTCTAAATTTATGGCACTCCATATTTCAGTAGTTTTTTTTCAGGGTAAGCACTACGGGTAAGCATTACGGAAACAAACTTGGTGTATCGTTGTGGGCTTCCTTCGTCAGGGCTCTTGAGTCAAACCAGTGCGCGGTTTTCTTGTACTTTGTTGCATAGTTGAAGATTCAAACTATAACTTACGTGCATGCCATGAAAAGCGTTAGGTTGCAACCTGCCAACGTTTCGCAATTGGAAATCCGTTGATATTGCTAACAATCACTACGTAAATAGCCTCGAGAATGACCACATTTTATCTTATAATATCTCGACGGATCTTAATGGTGTGTTTACCGAAATTCTTTTATTCTTTATAGCTAGTGGTCAGTGATGGAAGCGCCATTGAATCGCGAGTTGAGACCCTTTGATACAGTTATAAATTTCAATGAAGACTTTCATTCTGGTAAGGTTTTCCAATGTTGCAATTTCTTTACCATCTAGGTGCTGAGGTATCGGGAAAAATTGCTCCATCATCTGTATCGGTTGTTGCTGGTGACGCTTTATTAACCGAACCAGGAATTGTGACGGCAAATAAAGAGAGAAAATCGAAGGCGTTTTTGACCATTTTCACAAATTCACCTTCTACTCTACACAAGATGAACCACCGAAGCCGATCTAAGTCACGAGGTGTATACAGAAAAACGACTGGACGGATATCTGTATCCACAGGTCAATTACCTCTTCAGGCATGTACCCATTACCAGATACCAGTAAGTGGATCATCTCAACCACCCTTGTCGCAGCTCCGATCTCATTCCCCACCAGAAAGGGAATATCCCAAACCGATCAAGTTACCGTTAGAAGAAAGCAATAATTCGACGCTAAGTCACCAGCTGGGTAGATCCTCCAGTGACGATTCATCAACTGGCATTGTCAATATTAATCCGCAGCTTTTGAGTTTAGCGGGTGGGAAGTACAATGTTGTCAGTCGATCACCGCTGAACGTCGCACAATCTGTGCAAAATACGAAGTTGTCCCAAATTCATTTTGCTGTACCGACTGCAAAAGACAGTTTGATGTACGAGCTCAGCAGTTTTCTATCTAAGCCTAGTTCACTTCGTGGAAAGGCACATTCATGTGAAAACCTTCGACCAAACGGACTGATACGAAAAAGCAATATGTCAAGTGTTGAAAGCGACTTTCTCTGCAGACCTACCGTAGTAAACTCTGAAGAAAAGGGTGACGCGTCACGTGCTAAAATTGCGGCTTACGAGACAGAATTGCAAACACTACGTGAAGAGTTGACGAGACGTTCTATGGAAGTAGAACAGATGTCACAGGAGCTTTTGAATGTTAAACGAAAAGAAAAGATAATGCAGTCACGTCTAAATGATTCAGTTTACACTGAATCGGTGAAAGAAGACACATTTCACAATCTTAAAGACAAAATTGGTGAACTCTATGCAGATCTTGAATCCTTACGTTGTGCACATACACAGGCGCTTGATCGGCAAGTTGATCTGCAAGAGGAAATCGCTGCTCTTCGAAGATCCTGTGATTGGTATGCCGAGCAGTTAAGACTCACACAATCGGGCAGGGATAAATTGTGCTCGGAAAATGGAAAATTACAGTCACTGTTGCAAGAAAGGGGTGAGATTAATCACCGCCTTACTCACGAGAATAATTGTCTTCAGGCACAATTAGTTTGTGCCCAAGCAGCTTCGGCAACGGCAAAACGAAATCTGTCGGCACAACTAGATGCCATTCGTATAGATATGATAGAACGTGAAGCTATCTTCGAAAGGTTCTCTGCTGAGCGTGCCTCTCTGGAGAAGCTAAATATGGAACGGGCCGGGCAAGTGAGTGCACTGCAACATAAGGTTGAAAATTTGCAAACAGAACTACAACTTGCTGAGGAGCAAATAGCACGCCAACGCAATAGGTTGAATTACTTGGAAGGCTATGCGTCTTCAGCGGATTTGCGACAAACAGAGCTTCAGAGTAAGTTGATCCAAATTGAACACAAACACCAACAGCAGCTTGCGGAGGACCAACAGTCGTTTGAAACCTCGGGAAACTATTCGGTGACAATGAAGCAGATGGAAGCTCTTCAACGAGTATGTGAAGAGAAAGATCAAGCTCTAACGCTTATAGCAGAAGAAAAAGCATCACTAGAATCAGAATTAAACGCGGCCTATAGAGAGAAGGACACATTGAATGTTTATTTGGAACAGTTACGAAAGAACCTAGTTCGCATCGAGGAAAGTTTCGATAGAGCTCGATGCGAGCTGGATTCAAAACAGGCGCAACTCATGGACCTGGCGGATCAACGAAATAGCTTACACCAACAGATTGAGGAGCTGAAACAGCAATTAAGTGATTTAATGAAGTCAGCGGCACAATCAAAACAGGAGGATACAAGGCCAGCAGAGGCTCAGCCAGACGACTGCTCATTTGCGGCCCAGGACGAAAATTCAAAAGTCGTTGTGTCTGCGGAAGTTGCGATTCAGACGGAATTCAGTACAGTTCCACCTGCTCAGCACATTCAGGTAGCCAGCTATTTTAATCGAATCGATTCTAACTCCGTCATGGTCAATGTCCCTCTTGGACGAAATACACCAACATCATGGGATTTTATGCGTTCAGAACCGTCCCTTGCCACATCTGAGCATCCTTTGGATGAACGATTTTCACATGTTGGAAAAATATCTGCTCTGTACCAATCAAATGTTCTCGATGGACAGACTCATTGTTTGGCGATCCCGACGAACAATGTTGCCAACCAATCATCTGAAACCGTTGTCGAGCAGGATAACTCAGACAGCTTGCTGAAGAAACCTAACAGAAATCAAGAATTGTACCATCTTCCAGGTCTTGTTTGTCAATCTAACTGGGATGCTGTTTCAGGTCTGGCTCTATTGTCCTCCGAACGTTCTTACACTAGATCGTCGGTTGTGTCGACACCGTACGAGGGAGATCAACAGTCGTATGACAAAATACACGAGGTCTCCACTGAAAAATCATTGCAGTCGGCCGGTAAGCTGGCGGGTGTTCAAATACTCGACGAACTGCCAACAGAAAAGTCATGCATTTGTCCAGTGTCTCCGTCAGGCATGAATTCGAAGACGGTTGTTTTTGGTGAACCCGGCTTAAACGATGCCGTCAGAATAGACTTAAACTTTGAGGCAATGGAATCGGGATTACATACCCAAGCTGCCGTTTCACACCTCACCACAGAAACCTATGACTATCCACCTAACGGTGTGGATCATTCTTCCGATCGAAACACTGTACCGTACGATTATATGGAACACTGTGAGGCTGCTGACGGTATACAATCACCTGTTGGTGTTGTCACCCAATGTGCTTCCGAAGGGTGTGACTATTCTGAGGATTCCGGTCCTAATAACCAACCACAGTTGTCGGCCTCAAATCTTCATTATGACGATCAGTTCTCGCAAACTTGTGAGCCGCCTTATTTCGAACGTGTCGCGTTGTCTCCTTTGAATGCATTAGAAGCACAGGTAAGCTCATGCCGCTCCGAAAGCATCAATCCGAACGGTGATCCGTCCGTTGGCCATATGTATCAAAATCTGTCCGGGGACGGTCATGCCTTTGGAAAAACTGATACACACGAGAAGTTGAAGGATACTAGTTCAGTTACAGCCACAAGTGCTAGGAATGTGGAGAATCATTTGCACGATACAGTTGGACCGTGTGTACCAAATATCGTTAATAGAGCAGAAAATGTACAGGTGAAATCCGCTTTTGGAGCCCCAAGTGTAATAGCTAGTGATGAACACCCGTTTATGAAGGCTCCATCCAAGAACAGTTTGATGATTGATGCATCCGGCTGCTTCCATAATGGGATTGATCGAATTCCCGGACGTGATGCCCTTTTGGAGGCATTGAATGAAGCCAACCAGAAGGCTGCAGAGGCCATCTCCAATTTGCTAGCTGCTCAAAAGGAAACCGAGGTGCAAAACGCCACCATCGAGAGAGAAACCCGTATTCGTCAGCAAGCTGTTAAGGCACATCAACAGACCGTTTTGGAATTAAATGCCACTAGAACGAGGTTGAATGAGTTGCAATCGGAACTGGAGTCACTTCGGAATCAAACACAAAATCTGCGCACAGAATCAACTGCACTGCGCGAACGCCAAAATGCGTGCACTTCTGCACATGCACTCGAACTAGAAGCACTACGGTCGATTATCAAGGTAAGATTATGATTTGATTGATATGCTTGTAGGATGATGTATGTGTGTGCATATGTATGCTGTTTTATATCTCACCTTTATATGATGAACAGCACATGGGTTGATCCCCATAGTCGTTAATGTTGGTGAGGGTGATGAGTGCGTGTTTCCGGTGCGAGTGCGTAGAGCGAGCGAGACAGAGAGAGCGTGAGTGTGTGATTGCGTACTGTATGTTGTGAGCAAGAAGCCGGTAATCATGGTCCTGAAACATGGAGTGGCGGACCACATAAGGCTTCAATAGATCAGGCGTGGTATTGAGCCGGGCGACTGCAGAGCCGCCTACCACCGCTATAATTCACCATTTCGTTCACCACTATGATTCACAATATATCTGCAAAACATTACCAGATACTTATGTCTGACGAGCGTCAAGAACCGTGAAACCGGCCGTGTGCTTCTAGGGTAATTTTGCCGAGTCATTCATATATTACTTATTGTAAATATATGTACAGGTCTAATCGAAACTGAACCAACAGGTCCCTGTGAAACACGTGTGATTGAAATAGTATTTCTCGAATTCAGTGGGTTAGATATCAAACACAGATTATTATTAAGAAACCTCATTTATTGTAATTTCCCCGGGTTGTGAAACATTTCTATTTGATTATTCAATAGAGTTGCTATAATGGATTATATGTCGGATAAAAAAATGCCTCATAGCAAGCACCCGAGGTCGCAAGGGTTTATGAACATCATTTGGGATAATTCTTCATTTATTCCTATTAGAATATATTGCGTTTTCATACTTGATAAAGTTTGCGTTTTTCATGTTCAGATCATTTAATCTTAGCAACCAAGGTCACGCACGTTTAATTGACAATTATGCAGCCTAGAAACTGCTTAGATCCCAGTAGACAAGATATAAATTATTGTCCACACATAAATAAAGCATTAAAACAAGGAATAAATATGATGAAACTCCACTTGATCATAAAGAAAATATTTCAGTGCATCACAATCGATGCCTGGGATAAGTATTTGATTTCCTGGCTAGGTCTGAATGGTGAGTCATTTTAAAATGGGCCTGTTAGTGTTCTTTATGGTCCATTAGCTAGATACCTGAAGTGAGATAGAGTAGCTTTCTCTTAAAGTGTGCCTAAGTAACAAAGTTAGGTGGGGGGAGTTAAAATTTGTTAACTAATTTCCTTTACCGTTCCAAATAGCTGCGTACTGAGAATAATATCTCAAGGTGATCGCAGAAGAAGTTTTGATGCAATTGACGAACTGGCACAACGCAGTTTGTGGCTTCTCGGTTTCTGCAGCGGAATTCGTTTGCGCATAATTGTGCTTCTAGACATACATGTTTTTACACGCACAACTATTTTCTGGTCCTTGTTTGATACTGAGCTTATTTAAAGTTGGCTATTTTGTTTCGTGCACGTGATGCACGCATCGATCGATCATTTGTAGATCTGAGCCTGGTTTTTATCACATAAAATGAATTCATGTACACGTCGATGAATGGTGTAGTGCAAAAAGCCATAAACGAAAAAGAAAGCAGCAGACTCCCTTCATCAGTGCCATAGGATACAAATTTAAAGCTTTCAGAGGTGCCAGTTGGTAGATCTACTATTTTCCTCGGCCTTCACAGGAGTGTTTTATCATGTAAGAAGATAGGTGTGAACTCCAAGCGCTTCATATATCAGTAGCATCATGTCAATCAGTTTGATCAGCTGCTTGACAATAGTACACTTCCGTTAGATTCTTTGGTTTTATCTACTCGAGGAATTTACGTTACTTATGAGACCCACCGAGTTTCAAACCTTTCCTCTATACAGCCTGAATTGCTTTCAGCGTTGAGTAGCCTGTCCTGACGCGAACTCCGATGATGTGGCTCGGCCGTTGGAACAATTCTTGAGGTCCGCGGTTTCCTGAATGCACTATGCAGCACTATGCCAAGTAACGCGCACACTCATCCCCTCCCCCTGTTAAATAACACCTAGCTCTGCACACCAGTCTAATCAATTTCATTGTGGGTACGATGTTACCTACGTCAACAGGTCAGAAATTCAGTAACGCAAGTGGTCCTCATCACGAAACTTCCCCTTTGCCATTCACTAGACACTTTTGAATGATGTGGCACTGTGTAGAACAAAATAAGCGTTCCGGATCATCCATGAGCCTTCCCTTGTAGCAACAGAAGAGTGTACGTTACATTAAGTCTGCCCAAACGATCCGTCCTCATCTTATTGAATACTGCTCATGAAAGCGATCGGCATCACCATTTTCTTTTCTCCATATTACTGTTTAAAGTGATGATAGTCAAATAAACCCCACCAAGAGATATTTAATTTTTATATGTCTGGGTGGACATGTGTGTTGGTGATCGTGGTAACTGAAATTTATAGTGTATAAGCCACCATTATAATCTGTGCGCCCCCCCCTCTCTCTCTGCAATCACAGGCAACAACGGATCATGTAGCTTCAATGTCTCTATCCCTGAAGAAGGCCAACGAAGATAAACTTCAGTTACAAAAGGAATTAGCGCACATCAAAGGAGGTATCCGGGCGCAACTCGAGCGCTATCGACTGTTTGGTCCCACCAAATCGGTCGATTGGACGGGCGAGGAAAACCAAACTAATTCTATGACATCTGTTAGCTTAGATGTCCACAAATTGGAAAGCTTGATAGGGGAAAATACTACTCTACCCGTATTCAATAGCAAGTAAGTCTCAAATTTTTTTCACATAGTTTTTCTGCCCTTAGCATTATCGTATGGTTACCTTTAATTCACTACTTGTATCAGTCCTATCTTCCAAACCGGTGTCTTTATTATGTTTTCATTGTTTTCCTCATTTCATAGACCTCTTACCGGACTGAATAAGTGTTTCGATACGCTGCAGATGGAAATATCAAGTCTCGAGGAACAGATTGTACAACATGCGATAGCTGTGCGCAATTGTGTCAATGGTTCGGTGTAAGTTGCCAGTTACGAATTGCCACCGTTTTGTACTGTTTAGTGCTGACGCGTCTCTGTTCGGCGGTGTTTTTTCGCTCTATTGGCTTAGTGATTTAATCGATGTGCGTCAGTTAAGTTGGCTAATAATTGGAAAAAGCGAAAATCGATCAGCCTGTACCCGTGTACAAGTTTGTGTGTGTCTTCCTCTCGGTCGCGATCGATGCGTTGTGTGAGTGACGGTCTAAAATAAACTGTGCAGTGTGCCACTTAAGAGTTTATTCTGACCAATGAAAGATTTGGCCTTTAATTTACTGACACGTTGTTCATTGTTCGCGTGATTCAGACTGAAAATTCTGCTCAGCCTCTTTCGTTTCCTTTGGAACCGTTGGCGAGTTTATTTCTTGCACTGTCGAAATTATTCTCCATATCTAGATTTTGTTCACGTGTTCGATGTTAACAACCCGGTTCCTTTTACGCGATTGAGGAGGCCTGTTTTTTGGTGCTCTCACCATGGATCGTAGAGTTTGGATCATAGTGAAGGTTATCTCTACAATCAGCACGACCAAGTTAAGTTAACCGGGAACCTTCGATGGTCGTGTGTTGTGTAATGCGGTGATCATTGTGTTTCACGTTCTCAGCTCCTCTCTCGGTTAGAAAATCATGTGTAAAGTTGTTACGCGAATCCTACATACACTACCATAGGACTCAATTTTCTACCTTTGAATCACTCACTGCCTTTCATCCACGTCACTTGATATTTGAAGTACAGTTATCAATAGACGCTCAAATTGAGTGCTCCTGTTTGTTCTCGTTACTCTATTCTGAAGCCCATTAATCAAACTGGCCTCGAGCGAGGCGAATAAACTTGCTCGCTATCAAGCGAGCTGTCATGTCTCAGTTACTTAGTTTGAAATGAGTCTGAACAAAGCAATCTACTCAACCAATTAGAAATGTCTGCATCACGGGCATGTGTTTCATTTCCTTTTTTTGCACATTTCATTTGATACTAAACTCTCATTAAGCGTATTGCTGGGGTAAATACAGCATCGATTTGGCTTGACTTGAATTTACGCGATATCTTCTAAACGATAGAAAATAAAACGCGTCACCGTTCCATGCACATATCTCCTGTTTCCTTATCAGCACAATTTCTTTCTTCTGTTTCTCTTATTTGTCAGGAAATCCGAAAATGAAGTCATTCCTGCCGCAGACGGTGTGGCACAATTCTGTGATCGGGAACCATGAGCGTCGACATTACGCCCGCGCTATTCCCTTCCGTGACATGCTCGGCGTATTCGCCTACTCTCACCCTGTGATCTGTTCACCCTCCAACGACCTCCCTGTCCTATCTTCATCATACCGCCTCCCCCCCTCCCTGAAGATCGAGATCGGAAATCAGGGGATCAGCAACGGTTTCCGGGTTTCAGTTTATCGAAAACACGCGTTTATATGTCCCGGTACATTGTGTGCACATAGACATTTCTCCACACTTCAGAATCCACACTCGAATCAACGAGTGTCATCATTTATTTTCCTATCCACTTTATTTTCTGTCTATTCTCACTATCTTTCTCATTTAGTTATATCACTCCTGTCTTTCTCGCTCTCTGTTTCTGTCACTACATTGTTCTTTCATTCATTGCCATCATCTCACCCTGATGAGATATTCACTGAAACAGAGTACTCTCCAATCAATCAAAAGCGGCATCGTCATTGCTCGACTTTTCGGTATGTTCAACTCACAAGAGGATAGGCTTATTATATATGGGTACACTATTTTGGTTGTTCAGCTTTGTATAATCATGCAATGGACACCCTGGCTGCTCTACGCGGTGCGCATGCGAGGGCACCACTGTGAATCCAGTCGAACCCGGGGTTCATACTCGAGCTTCAGGTCTCGCTCATAGTACCCTGTTTGTGTGTGATTACCGTTGCGCATTGTCTCGGGTTAGCGCAAACGATGAATGTAAAATAGAGAGCCGACCTGATAGTGTCTTATTCCAGGGCATTTATCTGGTTTTCGGCTCCGTGTCGAGGTTTGTGTGCGTGTGCGTGTGAATGAGTGAGTGCGTACGTGCGTGAGTGCGTGCGTGCGTCACCAAAACATTTACCGGTGTAACTGGAACCTATCTTGGAATCACAGCTTTCCACTGGATCTAACAGAGCCTTATTCTTCGATCAAAGATTTGCAGACCAGTTGGGATTTATGAGTCCTTACATTTGTGATTGAGTGCATTACACTTCCAGGACACGAAAACAGGTGCGTTCCATCTCACTTGGACCATTGAGCTCCTGGGAGGAGGTTGATCGTAGTGTTCAGTTGCTTGAATAATGCTGGGGGGGGGG